GCAATGCCGCTGTACGTCACTGTCATATGATTGACTTGGTTGAAAACCAATGTAGTTGAAGCAGCTGGAAAAAAGTATCTACCGTCTTTGAGGTGGCGTTTTCCCTGACGGTGAAATGTAGCATGCCTTAGTTAGCAATGAAGGCCGAGGTTCAGGGCTTCATCACGCTTCGCCGACTTGGTGTCGCTACTTGACGCAGCTGTCCCCAACACGGTCCTCGCAGCAGCGGCACAAAATCGGCCGTCTCGTCTTTTGTTTGTTTGCCGCCGCCCCCCTGTTAGGAACATAGTAAATCAGTCAGTAGTAGTTTATTATTGATTTCCCGTTAGAAAACCGTGAGTGTTTTGCAGTGATTCCACTCTAGTTGATGAATTCCAGCACAAGTCGGAGTAAACATGTACCGTTGCGTTTCGAAGTATTTACTCCCAGTTAGCGCATTAATTTTCAATGAAATTAAATAGAACTCGACAGTGTAAGTACAGTTGTTTGTTGTAAGCTGGACTGTTGGGTCACCCCACTGAGCTATCTAACTTTTGCCATGCCTTTTGCTAGTAACATGATTGTTTATTCAACAGAACTAACTGTTTCGCATTTCAGGTCCGCGCTGCCAGTATGTCCGGGGACGTCTCCCAGTCTGAAATGAATCGCATCTACACCCTCATCCATTCTCAGCCCATGCAGTTAAATCTTCTTTTCCTCACACCGGAGAAGGTACTCATTTTTCTGTCCTTTAATAATCCGAAGTTTGCGCTGATGAGCCTACAGATTCACCATTGTGGAAACCTAGTTTAAGGGGTGGTGGGGAGGGGGGAGGAGGGGGCGAACAAAAAATAGCCGTCTGCTTCTGTAGAAAACACTGTGATATTTGAGGCCACAATATAAGTACCACGACTAAAATGAAAGGTTTTAAGTTGCACCAGTGCCCCCCACTACCACCATGTGTCGACCATGTGTTACGTGCGGCTGGTGACGGTTCAGGCGAAGGTGGTCGAAGTTTTCCTTTGTGTCGGAGAGGTACTGTTGTCTGATCGCAATGAGTTGCTTGTAACATATGGTGTTGTCGGGAGGAGGGATTAAAAGGGACGATGTTTCTGGTGTCGATACTGCATAATGGCATTCATGTTGTTTTGCTTGTCATGTGTTTGATCCGTACGCTCTTGTTCGCCTTTTCTCTGAGCACTCGTAGCGACGTCGTCATGGTATAATTAGTTGGGCAGGCACTCAGCGCCCAACATAACTAGAACACTGCCAGCGGTACAATCACAATTCCCATTGGTCCCATCAGTGATCGTGTGCACACTTAACATTCCCGACAAAGACGAGGAAGACCGGAATGGTCATTTTCGACTTATTAGCCGTAATCAGCCAGTCATACCCAAACCCAGGAGTGGCGATCCCCGAGGCTCGAACCCGCGACCTTGTTAGTTAGAAGTCCAACGCTCTAACTACTGCGCCACGGGCTCGTTGCTTTGACGGTTTCGATCGGGAGTCTACACAATGCTAGACAGGCGCCCACCGATCGGTTACAGAACTCACTCATCCCGGGTTCGAGCCCCGGGTGGTGCACGACCTCGGGTTGGGTGTGGCTAACTGATGACGGTTAATAAGCCAGAAATGGCCACTCCAGTCTACTTTGTCTATGTCGGTGTTATAATTTTGCACGTGTCATTAGCCGCTGTGGTCTGCTGACGGGGTTTGGAAGAGAGCCCCAAGGCAAATCGGGACGAGTGAGTCCTGTAAGCGGTCGGCGAGCATCAGTATACTTTCGCCAGAATCTGTCTGGCAGATCCGGACTGACCAGGGCCATGTGTGCGAAAGCGAGGATAGCGAGTGAAACCGGTGCGGATGGAACAATTCAGCACACTCATTAATTCCTAGCACAGCACAGTGGAAGTCGTGTCTGGGAAGATTGCAGACGAACGAAACATCAAGGTCCTATTATGTACCGAGAGTCAGTCTTCAATGCATTCAAGTTCATGCGGCCTGTATGCCTTGTATAGAGGAATCGGTGTCATTTAGCCCCGTCCGCCTTGGTATCTACACCCACCCCTCTAGTTCTGATTTGGCCTCGCCGCGGGGCCATCAAAAGTCGTGGTGTAATAGAGTGGGAGAGATGCAACTCAAATCTGTTTCATGACAAATGAATTCACACGCAAGTCATTGCTGCACCCTGCAGACAGTGATGATTTTCGGCGTCTGCCATGGTCGAACTAGTCATAAGTGTCCAGGTCTCTGCGTCCACGGAATTATCAGGTGTCCTCATGATAAAGCCATTCAAAACTCCTACCTGACCCGCTCATATACTTAAGTTTCTTTTAGCGACAGGTTTTTTTTGGTCAGCTAAATTTTAAATGGCGAATATGAAAGGGAAAGTTACTATTTTTATTTTTACTGTCGAACTTCACTTCACATGCCTTTCGTGTTCAAATTGTTCTTCCTTTTTTTACCTTTATAGATTGCTGCCTCAGAGAAATTGAAGGCTTGTCTTGAGCATCTTTATAAGAGAAACTTACTGGCACGCTTTGTCATTGACGAAGCCCATTGCGTTAGTCACGTGAGTACTGCGAATATTTTTTTTCTCAATGTGTCCTGGACGAATATTTTATCAATTGCCACGTGCGTAGGCTGATATGGGCCTTTTGACCATAGCACCAGCCCAGACACGCGTGTTTCGCCGACTTTCTGCCTCTGCATCTGTGGCGGATTCGAGTTATCAATGACAGTTCTAACCTTTCCCGTGGACTTTCTAGCATAACTGCCTTCGGAAGAACATTATCCCGCCAATTTTTCGTACTCGGGCTTCCGGAGCAGTTCCTCTGCTGTCTGAATTAAGTGGTTCAGTGCAATCATTGTAGTGTTTATTATATTCAAACACCCCCACCTCATCCTAATAACAGCAAAAGACACCTCCTCCGAAGATGTCCATCGTGTGTTGCAGAGCATGTGGGGCATAGAGATAGTGGCATGTACATGATAGAGGACCTGTGCGGCATTTACCCCACTCCCTCTCTGCCTTCTGCGGCAGACGTCCAACAATTCTGTCCACTTCATTCTCCAATGCTCGCTCTCCCAAAGTCATGCGTCGTCACAAACATCTATTTTAATGCTTTCTTTCACTGGCGCCCTCGTCCCCCGAGGCCTGAC